TGGACAGGACTAAAGACCCACAGTTGGCATCATTTCTTCTTGAAAGGTAAGGCGGTTGTTTCTAAATACGCTTGGGGAAAAAAGATTTGCTGCGTTTTTATTGTGGAAAATGCACAAAACAAGGCATGGAAGTCTCCTTTTCCAAAATACCAGCCGTAATAAACCCCAGCAAGATGTCTGCGTTAGAAGGAAATAACACAACAGCTAGCATTAGCGAACTGAGGCGCAGCGTTTTGTTTACAAACAGCACCTACAGCGTTAGCAAAGATCTCGTTGTTTATCTAAGAAGGAGAGGATTACGAACATATCCAGTGTTCAGGCAATAATGTGAAAAGAGTCTGTAAATTTCATTATTATTATTGCATCATTCTCAATGTATTTCAATGTGTATGCTTTGCACATGTGTTTTCCAAAGCAAGTAAAGGGTATGTGTGAAGTTACATTCTTTTTTTAACACTTTTTTTGTCCATATAGTTTGGAGCAGCCAACCAAAACTGAAACATGGGATGCAAGGAGGAGATGATCAACAGATTAGAGGTAAGTAAGCATATTCATTTCTAAGCCCGTATACAGTGTATGCTTACAGACCTTTCTGTTTTAGCTGACGGGAGGATGGACTCTCCAGGTAATGCATAAAGCTCTTGGACATCTCATTATTATAGATTTGCTGGAATGTTTATTTTTCATTTTTTTCCCATTATCAAAAAGATCACTCCACTATGTGCTGTGCGTACACAACGATGGAGCTAGACACCATGGACAGCAAGGGTGCGGTCTTGAAAGCCACACATTCCGGGCTGGCCAGAGCCACCGGTTCGAAAGGAGGACCTCCTAGGCCCCTCAGAACAACCTTCAGGTCCCAGACTGGAGGCGTCCTGAGGACGGGCCTCCTTCTGCAGGCCCCCCGAAGGAAACTTTTAACTAGAGGGTGGGAGCGGGCTGAAAAACCCCGGTGACCCGAGGCAGTGGCTGCCGCAAACACCGCCAGGGTGCTGGCAGCCCTACCCTCGAACAGCTCCAGAGGGCAGGACATGGGGTCCCAGGAATGCACCGCGCACCAGTCATTGAAAAGCCTCCACCTGCAGGTGGCAAAACACCATGGACATCGTCAGTGGTGTCAATGTGGACCAAGAATAGGTTGACAGTAAAAGTATATTACTCTCGAAATAAAAGGTTTGTGAGTCGTTCGAGAGCAGCAGCATCAAAGTCACTGCTTTGTCACATTTGTTGCCTTCAGCCAATCATGTACTTAGTTCCTGCATGTTTTTCACAAATAAACTTAATTATTTGTATTTTGGTTTGACAATTTTTAGTGGACAGTATAGACTGTAGTGATAATAACAGTAACATGGAGAAGGCGAATATTTTTACAATATTTGGAGAGTTCTTACGATTGTCGTAGGGGTAAATCGGGTCCATAATCGGCCTAATTATCCTGCCGTGTGAACCAGGCTTAAGGGGCATAGCACCATGAAGTAGAACATGCTTATGAGTTTTTAATTTGAATTACAACTTGTTACAAGATTATTTTGTTGTGTTCTAAACAGATCCAGAAAAGGGCAGATATCAGGGTATTATCCATTCACTCGATGTCTGGCATGCCTCAAAAAATCTAACAAAGAAACTTTGTTCTGTATGTCGAATTATTTTATATTGTGTCTATAAGTGTGTCTATATATTTGTTTTACAACTTTGGTGTCTTCCAACAGGCTGGAAGAGGAGTTTATGTTCTGTATGAACATTACACATTTATAAAATAACCTGATAATGTCATTTTTTCTCTTTGTGTGGTGACATGGTTTAACTTTTTTCACACAGGCTGTAAATTCTTGTCTTCTTGTAGGGCAACTTCGAAGCTCAAATCTTTACAAAAAGAATGCAGGGAAGAGCTTTGGGTTTACTTATGGTATGAAGCTTGTACACTCGCTGCAGTAGACTATAACCACCATAACCATCGCCCAGTGCATGTGAACAGGAAAGGCCAAGTATTGTATGTCATACTTTATTGCTTTCACACTGTATCTTGATAATAAATAAATACATCATTTGTACTGATGTCTACACTAATGATTTGTTGACATGAACGAGTCTACAGCAAAAAGCCTCAGCGTTACAGTGTGCACACTGTGAAGGAGACTAAAGACTACAGCTCTATCACAGACCAGAGCCGCAGATCTGCTGGGGGTCTCTTAAAAAATGCAGATGACCCCAGGGCCCTGGGTCCTCTGTGTGGCATCATCCCTCCTCCTACAGCTGAACTGGTGCAGACACAACAGAGGACAGGTAGTGATGATAATCAAATGGGAAAAAATCTCAATGATCTTTCTTTCTTTTTCTAGGACTTTTTTATCTGGTACCTGGACAGAGGCTGACAGCAATCAAAGATGGACACAGCACATTTATTTATAATATGTCAAATATACATATACACATTTTTTCTCAAACACTGAAATAAAAGTAAGACTTATTTCTAAAGTGGTGATGAGTTGCATTTTAGTTTTAATTCCCCACTGTGGGAGGAATAAAGGGGTCTTCTTTATAACCAACAGGTCCTGCTCTTCTCATTCTAGACTCCTCTGCCTCCTCCTCTCACCCATTCAAAGTCACTGCTCTCAGAAACTGAAGATCCAATTGGACTGGAGTCCTAGAAGGAAAAGCAGAAAGATTTAGATGTTACCATTCTGGAATGTTTTGTAAAAACTTCATTGATGTAAGCCATGAAAAAAAGATTTTGACTGAACATCGTTCATTTGTGTGTTTTATAATGTGGCTTCAGGCTTTTGACGATTCACTTTGCTTTACATTTGCTGAAGTATCACATCTTGGAAAATATACATACTGATTTGGTCTAAATATCATAAAAACAGTAACATTTCTTTCCTCTGTTGAAGTCATCCCCGTAAATCTGTAAATTTTCGAGGACAGGACCATATAAGATAAGATAAGATAGACTTTATTGATCTCTCACAGGAGAAATTTACATGTCACATCTGGCATGGATAGAAACACTCAAGATTGTGCTTCGCAAGCACAAAAATTGCAAACTCCGCATAGCTCCTTTAAGGTACAACAATATAGAAAAATACAGTTTAATTAATTTCAATAACAAAGTCCTCTGGCCCACCAAATGCACCCGACTATGTGCCATTTATGGTACGACCAGGAAGTACCTTGGTTCGGCCAGTGGACCGACACAATGGCAGCAGGTAAGTTGTGTGTATGGGGGACATGATGATATGGGTGTGTAGGCGACAAGTGTGCGCCCTCGTGCGCTACGCGAAACGGTATCGGTGGGGAAGAGTCTGTAGATGCTGGGCCGTGCTTGTAACCTGCCAGTATGTTGCGCTACACGCATGCGCCACGTGCGCGCGCCGACATGCTCTTCTCAGCGCAGGGAGAGGGAGCAGAACAGTGAATGACGGCGCCATCACTGGTGCTCCGTCACAAACACAGATAGAGTAAAGTGTCACAGTGAAAACACAGAGAGAGTAAAGTGTTGAAGAAGATGACAAAGTCTGGGATCGTGTCTTAAATTCAGACAGAAGACATGTTTTATTGTGATGGTAGAGACAGCACGAACAACACGAACAAAGGATGTAACAAACTGTTAGTGATAATATAGCATGGGAGAATGAAGTCCTCCAATCAGCAGCTGCCACGGTATGCCTGTAGCTTGGCCTTCAGATAGACAAAACATCAAATGGAAAAGTACAGGCTTCTGCACATTGGTAGAAGGATGAGTTTAACTTTAACAAAAGTTGCTTCAAAGCATTATGAAATCTCACAGTGTTACAATGAAAACATGACCCATTTGACTGTGTTGTTCACAGTCAAATGGTTTCAAAAGAACGCGTTCATTGAACACGCTCAGTGTTCAATGAACGTGAACGTTGAACTGAACGCAACACATTTGTAAAAAAAGAACTTGAACGTGAATTAGTTCATTTTATGTGTCATGAACGGCAGACATCACTATGAACGTTGGAATCTGTTTTCTCTTTTGAAATGCAACGAGAGAAAGTTCCTCCCTCCTGTATTCTGACACTTTTTCCGCTGGAATCTAAAAATTCCAACGGTTTCCACCGTTTGTGAACGCACCCCGACACTATGTTGCGGTGCGGCGCTGTGAGCTGGTGCTTTTCACATGTGCCCGAGTCGTGATGAAAACACAGGGTGAGTTAGCGACGTTTACACCGTTTACATTTGACATAAAGTATAGACACACGCACTGCAGCACATTACTGTTTGTAGTTTATGAGCAGAGATGGAACAACTCCGTTTTGCTCCCATTGAAAACCATGTAAATCTAGTCTGTGGCTCTCCTCCTGTGGGTGTACAGGAGATATATACATACATACATACGCAAAAAAAAAAAATATATATATATATATACATACACAAATATATATATATAGCTCGTAGTGTGAAAAAAATATTTAAAGGAAGTATCTCACGAAAAACTGAACTTTGAACTAGTTCAGAATTAAAAATGTGAACTTTGAACGTGAACTGTTCACTTTGAGCATGTATGAACTGAACTTGAACTAGTTCAGAAAAGCTGTGAACTGGCACAACACTGGTTGTTCATAAACACCTGTGTTAGGACATGAAGACTTGCTTTTGAGGAATTAACTTGTGACGCACTTTTGCAGGTAAACTAATTACAATATATATACAGTATATGCATTCTCAGGGTACACAGTCCTTGCACTGCCATGGGATCCCTTTTCTGCATTGTACACATGTGTACTGTATCTGCTCTACTCTCCCCAGTCATTTGCAGCTTCTCCTCCCCCGCACGAATAAACAAAGCCCATCCCAGCCCCCTGCTGTTTTCGGTTATTACCTACATTTGCAAATCAAGACATGCAATTGTTTGCAACCAAAGTAGCAAGTTAACTTCTCCTCCTCTAAAATGGGGTCTAAAAAAGCTTCTAGTGCTAGACCCTTGACGCTGAGCTGACCCTGAATCCTGACCCTGAATCCTGTTTGTTTTGCAGGTGACAGAAATCATTAACGTCAAAAATGTGATGCGGTTGCCAAGGGACACTAGACGACAGGCTGTAACCATCATTTTCACTGACGACACGTCAAGGACCTTCACATGTGATTCCGGTAAGACCAGGTAGACCAAAGAGAGTCCAGAGATACAGACCAGAAAGAGCGACGAGAGAGAGAAAAAAAAGAGAGCAATGTGACCAAGTAAGTAAGTAAGTAAGTAAGTAATGTGTTTTATATAGCACATTTTACAGACCAAGGTCATCCAAAGCGCTTTACAATGTTCAGAGTTCAGATATTGTTCCAATCATTCCACACACGGTGATGACGAAAGCGAGTCGCCGAACAGACTGGCGCATCAGCCCCCAATCAACACCATCCATTCACTCTCTCATTTACATTCATACCTAGACCATACCTAGACCGTGGTCGAGCCCCCTCGACCACGGTCCGGGGGCTCACAAGAAAGGTTGGACGTCTGAGCTTCAGGCTGCGGTCACATGCGCAGCCTTTAGGTGCCATCTGAGCACGGCATTGAGGGGCGCTGGGGAGTGTGTCGCTGCAGAGCCAAAGAAAAGCGTTATATTAACAATAATTTGCAGATTTTTAGATTTATTTCATTCTTCATTTATTCATTATTTTGACAGTTTTGGTTCTCTATAGTAGTTATGTCACTTTCACATATGGAGTATGTTTTATTAAGGTAAAGGTGTGCTGTTGTCTGATTTGTTCACAATAATTTACTTTTGGACGCAGAAGAAATGTTAAGTTAGGTTAAAAGCCTCCTTGGCTCAGTTCTGGCCCCCTTCCAGGCTCAGTCCAGGCTCCATCCTGGCTCAGAACTAGTTCACAGAAGATTACAGCTTTATTAACCTTGAGGGAAGTGCATCATTCTTGTAGCTGTTTTAAAACATGAATTTGTTTGTATGCAAAAACCATAGACTTTATATTAGCGGACGTAGTCACGCCTATCTCTGCCATTGAAATTAATGTGCCACCACTTTCGCCTAATGTGGGCAAAAATGGGTTTCAAATGGCAGTGGAGAAGCAAAATGTTGGTTCAAATAAGGCCGCACACCCCTGTAGTCTGAACTAGCGTGCTGGATTAGAATATTTGACACTTAATAGATCAAAACAGAGCTTAGACTTTCAACTGTCGGTAAACCACATGTCTATGCTCTTTCGCAAATGCCACCCTCTGAGTGAAGGGGCAGAGAGGAAAGATTGGGTCAAGAGGCACTGGAACCAAAACTATTTATAGATTATTAGCGGGCGCCTTTCATGGTCCTTGCGGGAAACAGTGCACCCTCGGCCATAGGGTTGGTGATCCCTAGTTCAGAGAGAGAGAGCAGAGGGACCAGAGAGACTAGAAAGAGACCAGCGAGAGGGACCAGATTGACCAGAGAGACAAGAGAGAGGGACCAAAGAGACAAGAGAGAGAAACCAGAGAGAGGCCTGAGAGAGAGAACAGACAGAGACCAGAGAGGAGTGAGAGACTAGAGAGACCAGAGAGAGAAAGACAAAAGAGACCGGAGAGAGAATCCAGAGAGCAACCAGAAATAGACCAGAGAGGGACCAGAGAGAATAGAGACAGATCAGAGATAGAGACCAGAGAGACTAGAGAGAGACACAAGAGAGACCAGAGAGACTGGAGAGAGACCAGACACACATCAGAGAGAGAGAGACCAGAGACAAATCAGAGAGAGAGACCAGAGAGAGAGCCCAGACAGAGACCTGAGAGAGACCTGAGAGAGACCTGAGAGAGACCTGAGAGAGACCTGAGAGAGACCTGAGAGAGACCTGAGAGAGACCAGGGAGAGAGAGACCAGGGAGAGAAGAGAGAGACCAGGGTGACCAGAGAGAGACACCAGAGAGGGACCAGAGAAGGACCAGAGAGGGACAAGAAAGAGACACGAGAGACAGAGAGAGACCAGAAGGAGACCAGAGAGAGACTAGAGAGACCAGGGAGACAAAAAAGAGACCAGGTTGGCCAGAGACACCAGAGAAGGACCAGACAGACCAGTGACAGATCAGAGAGAGAGACTAGAGAGAAGGACCAGATAGACCAGAGAGATACCAGAGACAGATCAGAGAGAGAGACCAGAGAGAGAGCCCAGAGAGAGACCAGATAGAGACCTGAGAGAAAGACCGGACAGAGAAACCAGAGAGAGACCCAAGGGAGAGCAGAGACACCAGAAAAACTAGAGAGAGACTAGGGAGACCAGAACGAGACCAGAATAATTTTTATTGCCATGTAAGTAACAGGAAGTCACAGACTAGGAAATGGCTTTGGCTCTCGGTGCAAACAAGTCAAAAGTAGAGAATAGAATAAGGCCCCATAAAACATTTCTTAAGCATAACATTTACTAAAATATCCATTTAATCCCTTTATAAAGTCCCTTTATTCTGTCCATTTATAAAGTTATGAAGTGTTCACGAGTCCAACAGAGGGGAAGAAACTGTTCTTATGGCGGGAATGGACCAGAACCTCCCGTCATAAGAACAGCATCTTGCCTGAAGGGAGAGGTCAGTACAGTCCATGTGCAGGGTGAGAGGGGTCGGCTGTGATACGACCAGCCCGGCCTCGAGCTCGGGCGATGTACAGGTCCTGCAGCGATGGGAGGCTGCGGCCAATCACCTTCTCTGCAGAGTGCACGATGCGCTGTAGTCTCTGCTTGTCCCTAACAGTGGCTCCAGTGAACCACACGGTGAGGGAGGATGTGAGGTTTGACTCGATGGCCGTGTAGAACTGCACCAACATCTGTGCAGGCAGCTTGGCTTTCCTGAGCTGCCGCAGGATGTGCATCCTCTGCTGGGCCTTCTTGATGAGGGAGCTGATGGTCGGCTCCCACTTGAGGTCCTGGGTGATGGTGGTGCCCAGGAAACAAAAGGACTCCACAGAGGTGATGGGGGAGTCCATCACGGAGGGCGGGGGCGGGGGCGGGGGGACTGTGCTCTTCCTGAAGTCCACAATCATCTCCACTGTCTTCTGGGCGTTCAACTCCAGGTTGTTACCACTGCACCAGGACACCAGCCGGTCCACCTCCCTCCTGTAGGCGGACTCATCGTTGTTAGAGATGAGACCAATGAGGGTGTTGTCGTCCACGAACTTGATGAGCTTCACCGAGTCGTGGCTGGAGGTGCAGTGGTTGGTGTACAGGGAGAAGAGCAGGGGAGAAAGAACACAGCCCTGTGGGACTATAATCCGAGAGTCCGAGACATTCTTCCCCAGACGCACTCGCTGCTTCCTGTCCATCAGGAAGTCAGTGATCCACCTGCAAGTGGAATCAGGCACGTTGAGCTGGGAGAGCTTGTCCTGGAGCAGGGATGGAAGGATCGTGTTGAAGGCTAGACTAGATTAGAGAGACTAGAGAGAGACCAGAGAGAGCCCAAAGAGGGACGAGAGAAGTGCTTATTTTTAGGTGGCTGGAACATGTTCCACCACCTCCGATATGGGATCTGGCACCTCTATACGTGTGCAAGCACAAAATACAATAATTCTATAAAAAATAATACATAGTAAAAGTTCAAAAGTACTCAGAAAATTGTGAATACAAACGCAGAAAGATAAATAGTGGTTCTGTAGCATAGCCTTTGTAGCACTTAGAATAAGTGCGTGTAAAAAGTTATTTATTATTGCAGAAACAATTGCCATTGTTTTAAATACATAGACAAAGTTAATGTAACGGTATTGTGTTGAAACGTATCAGTTAACAGGGAGCACTTGAGATCCCAGATAGCCTGTGTGGCCCCTGGTATGGAACAGGCAAGGAAATTAAAGCGTTCATTTGTAACCTTCTCAATCATGGTTGGAAAGAAAAAAAAAGAAAAAATACCATAGATATCAGAGTGAGGGAGACCAGAGAGAGAGAGACTAGAGGGAACAGAGAGAGACAACAGAGAGAAAGACCAAAAAGAACCAGAGAGGGAGAAATGAATGAGACCAGAGAGAGAACAGATAGAGACCAGTAATGGACCAGATAGAGATCAGAAAGAGACCGGAGAGAGACCAGAAGGAGGCCAGAGATAGCAGAGATATCAGAGTGAGGAAGACCAGAAAGAGACCAGAGAGAGAACAGAGAGAGAAAGATCAGAGAGAACCAGAGAGGGAGAACCGATGGAGACCAGAGAGACTAGAGAGAGACCAGATAGATACCAGAGAGAGGCCAGAGAGACCACCGAGGGAGACCAGAGAGTCAAGAAGTGACTCAGAGGGATCTTTCTAACATGATTTTGATGAGATGAAGACAGCATGTTGTGGTTTGATTTGTTTTTTTTGTATTATTTCTCTCTTTAAATCTTAAAGTAAGTTAGGTACCCCAGCTTTATTTTTTGATTAGATTTTACTGTTCATGAGTTTATGAGACTGGATATTGTCATAGTAGGGTCAATATACTGCCCGCGTACCCACAACCCCAAAAAAATTGCAAAATTTTGTTTTTTTGTGGTTTTATTTTAGACTGGGTCTAGACTTTAACATACTAAAAGTTGGACAAAATTGGAGTATGGGAAAGTGTTGAATTTCGAAGATGACTTATTTCGGTTTACAAGTCATTTTCCATTTACGTGTGAAGCACCAACTTGAGATGAGACAGACCTTGGGATAGTTGCAGAACAACTAGACAGCTTTAAACCATTTTCATGTGATGAATGGTTTACGCAATATTACCACAGGGATTGATGCCAATGAGGATGTCAATGTTCATTTTCGAAATCGGAAAAGACACTGTACAGAAGATGGATGGACAATCCGTTTTCTCCTACTGTCACAAACTGAGTTTAAAGGCTAGCATTGAGCAAGAACATAAAGTTTCTGCAGATCATATCATTGACCCAGCACTCCTATTCAAGAAATTTATCGTGGTCTCACAGACTGGTAATCTAAGGCTGGATGATGTCATGTCCTATGAACTCTGTTCATAGGACATGACATCTCTGATTGTTGAACCGCAGCTCGCAGAGGATTTTAGAAATAATATTCGAACAAAATCAGACAGTGCTGTGACACAAACTGCTCCAGTCACAGAGCACAATGTACTAGATGGAAGGAAGATCTCTTCTTCACCGCCTGAAATGAAAGGAGGGGAGTACCTACAGCTCGATTGCAAACGATTTTG